ACTGCTCAATCTCCTGACGTTCAGTTAGAGAAAGTGGAGTTATACATACAAAAGAAACTTCTACTATCATAGTAACAAACTTGTTGATCACTACTGAATTGATTTCTATTCATCTTTTGTGTTCTCTAACGCCGTATAAGTCTTGTATTTTTCTTTAGAATCCCTACATAATTCCACATTTTCCTTCATTTCCATGTGCATTCTGATTACAATTCATTCCTTCATTGGATTATTCATCTTATTACGTAATATATATATATATATATACGGAAAGTAGAAGTATTCTAACCGAGTCATTCTAGTTTTTACACTTCTAGTGATTTTAAAAAGTGTAAAAGACTACCTCAAATTCTGAAAAGTTGTCATTTGAGTAACAAGGAATTAATCAACATCTGAATAATCTCGGAAGAAGGTGATAATGGGCAATGAATACCAAATAGTAGAAGGAGGTTAGGGGAAATGGAAATCCTACTTATAATTTACTCCCAGCTGATCATTATTCCCTTAGGTTCCGAGTGGAATATAGGGCTTCAACAAAGCATCTCCACCTCATTTTTATATAGACAAACACGAGGTGTAGCAATGAGATGGATCACCAATATCCCCTGTCGTAGCAGATATCTTCATGGACAGCTGGGAAAATATTACTCTTAATACATTCACCTAATCCTACTCCAAAAATATGGTGGAGATATGTGGATGACACTTTCACACAAGTGTTGAAAACAGAACAGCTCTCTCTATCTCTAGCTTCTTCACATGCACATAATAATAACTCACTAGTAAAGGGAATAAGATTCACATTTCAATCGGAATATGAACAAGGAGAATTAGCTGTGATGTTAGATTGTAAAATAAAACGAAGAGAAGAAGGTAAACTGCACACTGGCGTTCACAAAAAGCCAACGCATTCTGCTAATAAAGATTTAGACTTTAATTCATCTCATCCGTCCGTTATCTGTCTGTGAAGTCAGGCTTAGTAAAGTGTCTAACAAACCGAACAGCAACATTACTAAGTATACTACTTCAAAAAACCTAAATGATGAAGTGAAACCGATGGAAGAATGGCTAGTTGGTGTTAAATGACTAACTATCCTATGAAATTCATTAGGAAGATGAGAAAAGGTTGAAAGCAAAATATAAATAATGGTGAAACTAATGATGATAACTAATATAAATAAGAGAGCATATAAGGCATCTACTGTTATACCATGTAAGGAGCGGACATCTGAGACCCTACGTAGGATTCTTAATAAAGCAGGAATTAGAATGATGGCATTTAAAACTACACAAATCACTCAGGGACAAGCTCTGTGGGTAGGTTAAAACAGGCTGTAGGTTGACCCAACTAGACAAAATAATATAATTTACAAAATACCTTGCAATGACTGTGAGTTAAGTGAACTACATAGGTAAAACTAGTAGATCGGGAGTAGTCAGATTGTCAGAACACGAGAATTTTGCTGAGGTTAGAATGATTGGTCCCACGATGATAAGTAATTTAGAGGACAGCTCAGCACTACATTGCACTGTATGCATTAACACACAGCCACAAAATACGGTGGGTGGGACAGGGTCAAAATCCTAAGAAGTAATATAGAGGTGGAGAGAGAGAGAGTTTGATTACTGACTGAATCCTTGTTCATCGAGCTACACACCAAACACAACACAACACAACGGATGCAAAAGAAGTGACTCATCATCATCACCAGCTAATACAATATCAGAGATATGCAAGATATTATTACCACCAGTCAGTCAGTCAGTCAAATCAGAGCAGGATAATAAATAATGTTAAATTGTATTCTATTTCAATTCAGTTCACATACGTTACAACAAGTTACTTATTTTTACTATAAAAAGCATCTTATTTCCCTTCTCATCGGATTGTCTTTGACTGATAACACTAATATGATTATTTCCGAATGTACTTTATCTTATATTACTGATTTTATTCAATCAAATATCTAATCAATTTCACTCATGTATTATATAAATGAAGTAAAACGTTGTGTGAGTGACTTGATATAATTATGAGGAATAATTTGTGCTCGAAGCATGTGGTCATCAGTTAATATTACTGTACAACACTGTGTGATTTATCAAAATAAAATCTTATCCATAATGGAGTTGTACTCTACCACAGTGCCCAAGTTTTATACTTATATCCACCTCATCTTGTTCTTTACTGTATTATTTAGATGGCTCGACAGCCGCATATAGTCTCTCATCTCTTCCTCACATGATTCCTCCCTTAATCCAGACCCACTCGCAACTCGTCGTCTCCTATTGGAGTTCCACGCAAACAACTGCCTTGTTGGAGTCTGGTGTCACCCAACCGTCACCCTCAGGGTATGTCCAACTCTTCTGCATTTTCTTCAAAATATTTGTCGCTTTGGCAATGAGTTCTTGGTTAATTCGTTCCCAGAGTTTAGTGCTGATAATTCTTTCCACTGCCTATCTGATCTTCAGCAGGAAGCCATCGAAGGCAGGTGTTGATAAAAGTCTGCAGCAGGCTGTTGGAAATAGTTTTGGTGACACACCAAGTAGAATCACTAACTGACCTAACGGTTGTGTTTACGCTGAATACATCAGATTTACAAACTGATTTCAGGGTGATGAATGTCTTCCTTGCCTTTCCAATTCTAGGTTTTACATTCTTATCCGTGGCATGTGGTTGTGGTTGAGACGATACTGCCTAGATAAGTGAAAGTGGTGTTTGTTGTTGGTATTGTTGTAGCTGGTCGGTTATCTTCGTCATGTCCATCCGTTTTTGTGTAAATATTCCTCAAGTGACTGGCAGTATCTTACCTTAGATCTACATACTTGAAATTAATTCTAGAAGAGAAGAAAAAACTCTAAACAGAAATTTTTCGAATTAGTGTCTTTCATAGTCAGTCACTTACACAACAATAATAATATTAACTAATTTATCTCATTGACGTATAATTTTAACAAAGAATACAATGTGTAGAGTGAAGTTTGAAATACGAGTTTGTGTGTACTAGACACATTATTACAGAATCCTTACAATTTTAAAATAAAGGTCATACTTTGATTTGACACTAGTAACTAGTGTGATGTGTCTGGTCCTCTTTTTGGTGCAGACTAAATTCTATCAGTCAGGTTGTAATGTGGCCACCATTCTAGGTAGGTCGCCATCACGGTGCACATTGATTTGATGATATTAGATGGTTGGAGGCACCAGAATATCTGGATTTCGCGTGTGGATGATTTATGTTGTTGAATGCCACACAAACACAAAGTCGAAGACTTTTAGGCATACCCAACAAGTTGGTAGAAGAAGATGGTAGGCAACGAAGACAGGACTCCAGATGAGTATAGAGAAGAAGTGGAGATGGAGATGGTGAAAATGACCAACTACCACCAATAGCAACAGCAACCAGCACTAATTAACACCATCGAGAGAATGAGGTTGGAAGAGGTTACTTCCTGCCTTAACTTATCTAGTTTAGGTTGCCAGCATCGTTTCAACCACAGTCAGTCGGAACGGTTGAAAATGTCAAAGCCAGCTAGTCAGAATCGGAAAGACAAGCAAGATACACTGGCCTTCATCGACCTGAAATCAGTTTGGAAATCTTCTGTTTCACTCCGCCTCAGCAGATTCGGATTCTGTTCAACACAAATGTCAGTGAAGTTAGTCAGTCAGTCACTCAGTCAGTTAGTGCTTCTATATAGGTCAGAAACTTGCACTGCGCGTGCGTCACGGGAAGCATTTCCAACAGCCAGTTACAAACTTTTATCAATAGCTGCCCCCTTCGCTGGCTGGCTATCTGCATACTGAGGATCCAGTGACCAGGCGGCCGGCCGAGCGACCGGCCAGAAACTCTGACAATGAACTAACCTATCAAGAACCGATTGCTCAACAAATATGTAGGAGAAAATGGATATACATTGATCAGGCGTACGCTGAGAAAGGAGGTAGTTGAATGACATGGCGCTCGATGCAGGCCATCCATCGCCCGAGTGGAAGGCGAATGGGAAGCGACGGACGAGTGCGGGGTCGGTGCAAGGGTGACGTGGAGGAGATGGTATGAGTTGGAGGGAGGAGGAGATGAGGGATTATTAGCAATTTTGGGGTGAGCCAGCTGAAGAGGACAGGAGGAAATAGAAGGAAATGGAGATGTGTTTTTGAAGCGCTATATTCCACTCGGAACTCAAGCGAATAATAATTTTATGATAATAATTTGACATGTAAAAGACGGCAAAAAGATATGCTCTACATTTCCTTATATGTACTATCCAATGTCAATGGTCAACTCTTTAACATTTTCTTCAATGACAAATCTACAAATAGAAACAGGCTGTGTTGGAGGGAGAGGGGGAGACAGAGACATACAGAGAGGGATTATTAATTAATTAATTAAGCCTACATTTATCTGGCTACACGTTTTGTAATCATCATAACAATTGTGCACAATACTGGTGTATCATTCTTGTGGGAGAGAGGGAAGAGAATTTCTACAAGCTAACGAATCACTAAGCTGCTGGTTTCAACCCTTTTTGTTTTTAGCGGTTTGATTTTGTGTGTTACTTGCCAAACAGTAGAGAAAAGGTACTGCTGATACCACTAAAAGTACTACGGTAATCACAACAACAGTAGACGTGATAACAGTACCCAAAAATAGTAATAATAATACTGCTAGTGATGATAACCACATTATAATTTATTATTATGATGTGTAGTATTCATAATGGTAGGGTTCACAGCATAGGACAGAAAATTGTAATTCATAATACATTAAGGGACACACTGGCACAAATTTAATGTGTACGTGTCTCATTGTCTATATGTGTGCATTTGTGTGCATGGTAGGTTATTCACAAGACACAAGCACACATATATGCACACACACGCAGACGCTATCACTGCACAACCAAAGCACACACATTACACTTGCACCCATCTATCTCATTAGCACTAACCGTCTTCCCCTTTTTGCCCAAATATAATTCACTGCATTAAAAACACTACCTATCGCCAATAAAATGCAAGTGAAAAGGTGGAGGAGGGAAAGCAGTAACAATTGTGATATTAAGGGACAGTTGGAACAGTTGGCACAGTGCACAGAAAGATACACAGTTAGAAAGGGATAATAAGAATAATAATAATGTACCTCTTTCTGATTTGACCATAAAACACACAGAAATTCCTTAATATCTGCATACACATATACATATATATAATATATTCAAGATACCACTTGTAATAACAATACCTACTGTTGCATTAGAATATTATAACCGAGTGAATAAGCACATTTTTACACAGACTACAATCGAGGTTCTACGATCAAAATTTATTCCCCTGACTATATACATGCATTTATATACATATATATAATATCCCGTCCCATTGGTATACAATTTAATTCTACTTGAAAAGAGACGTTATAAGGAGTAGTTAATCAGTCATCTGAGCGTTATTCACTTAACAAATAATTGAAATGCAAAACACCTATTCATCAAATGGTTATAATGAGTATCTAAGGTCGATTATCGGTAAGTTAATTGACAATTTATATATTGTGAAGTTAACTATTATTATTATTATTCATGAATCCTACTCAACAATATATGACTCCGGCGGTGTATTTTTACAGCTAACTGGGGTGTGTATGTTGACAGGTAGTTTATATCCTTAATGCACTGCACTGCACTGAGCTGTAATGAAAGGCTCGAAATGGTACAGTTAGGCATTTAGGATTTCAGTAATTTCCAAATTCCCATCTAACACATTTAGAGAAAACAACAGACTGAGAGAAGAAATCATGCATTCCTTTACTTCAATTAGTTCCTCATCATCCGATGGCTGGCTTGTCTACACTAATATATAGTCGTTTTTTTACATCAAAACTGTTTTTACCAATCGAGTGGTTATTTTAGTTCATCAGTTTTAGGTATAGCAGGGTGGGGGTGGAGGTGAAGTGAAGAGGTTAAAAGTCATCAAAACAATTAATTAATTACAAATTTATCGGCTATGTGATAGCTTGTTGCTAACGCTTAAGAATTAACTTATCTTGAATTCCGTAATTAATTAATTTTCACTCCTCCCTTCTTCAAAATGTGGATATCTTGTAACTAACATCTATTAGCTAATTGATGTTTTGATGACTGTTAACCTCTTTTAACTTTTAACCATCTCCACCCTGCTACACCTAAAACTGATTAACTAAAACAACCACTTGATTGATAAAACATTTTGATGTGGAAGACGACTATATATTAGTGTAGAGCCAGTCAGCCAGCCAGCCGATGATGAGGAACTAACTGAAAAGGAATATATTTATTTCTTGTTTTACAACTAAGCGTTAATAATCCAACAAGCACTGAGAAATGCACAGCACTAGACATCATCGAAGCATCTACACAAGGAGCGGACATGTCAACCTGAGACCGAGCACTTCGGTCCAATCAGTCGACGGGAAAATCTAAAATTCCATATTGGTTTGTTTATTAGATATATCGCATAGTGAAACAGTATTATTTACTGGATGACCTTTCGAACAAGATATATTGTTTCCTCGGAAACCTTACGCAGAATTCTTAACAAGGCAGGAATAAAAGTGGTTGGCATTCAAACCAACCACAAACTCAATTAGAAACAAGCTCTGTTGGTTAAAGGACCCTGTAGAACCAACAAAACAAAACAATTTAGTTTATCTAACACCCTGCCTACAATCATTATCAGGTCAAATACATAGGTCAAAGTAGTAGGACAGGTGCATTCAGACTAGCCGAGCATAAAAAACTAACAAAATCTAGGTTCTAAATTTAGGTTAGTTGACCCGAATAAGAAATCTGGAGAATAAATAGTTCAGCTATGGCACTCAATACATGCCCTTACACACAACCACACAATGTAGGATGATGGGATAAGATGACAGTTTGTTTTAAAATCTAATGTAACAGAGCGGAGGGAGGGCAAGACTGATAACGGAAGCTTTGTTTATCGAATCAACTGAGAGAAAACACGTGTAATAAGAATGATTCAACACCTGTCCAGTTGGACATCTGGAGAATTCTACTACCCCAACGACGAAAAATAAGAGAGGACAAAGAAAACTATGAAACTCAAGTTTCGAAGTCGTGTGATTATAATTAATGAAATGATTATGAACAATAAATTGTGTTCGAAACTTTGTCATCCAGTAAATACTAATACTATTTCACTGACTGTGTGATACATCTAATAAACAAACTAATATGGAATTACTTACCACAACATGCCCAAGTTTTACACATATATTAACATGACTGACTGACTGGTTTCAACATAGAACTTTGCACCGATGTGCAGCAGTTCGAGTCGCCACATTTCCTGTAGCACAAAAAGCAAGAGAAGAAACTTATCTATACTATTATCGATATATCTTAGTTTGTATTTCACGGATGTTCTTCAAAAAAAGAAGCATGGACTCATGCGGGAGACTGGCGAATATTACATTGTCGGACTCTGGGAATCCTCTGCACGCATAGCTCTCTCCTTGCATCTATCTTATCAAATAGGGGAACTAGAAGCAACTATAAAAACTCTGAAATACCTTATTTAGCTGGGACGCATTTTATGTGATGAGATGAGTGTGTAAGACATGGTACTACTAACTTACTGCGAAACACAAAGGGAACAGCCCTTTTTATTCTTTTTTTCATTAATATATATTACTGTTAATATTTCCAATTAAGCTTTAATTTCTGCATTCATATTCTTATCGAAGAACATTAATCAATGTCGATGCCATGTCTAATTATTTCCTCATGTACCATGTGTAATGTAGAGAGGAAATTAGATGGGACATTGTATTCATGCTGAAAATACCACAGTGTATCGAAAATAATGTTTGGATTAGAGTCATTAGTATTATTATTATAAGTAAGAAAATTGGCAAATCTAGCTAAAGTACTATGATTTAGGTAGGCATCCTTCTCTGTCTCTCTCTCCCCCTCTCTACAGCAAAATCATTTTCAAGAAAAGGGCCTCAAACTCCTATTCTACCAATGGTGGCATCACCAAAATCTCTCAAGTTGCATTCAGGAGTGATGAACAAAGATAAAATCTTCAAAATGATATCCCTTAGTTCCCTAAAATCGTGTCTGTGTGTGTGTGCATTAGTGTGAGTGATTCACCTTTCTGATTTATGAACGCCCTGCTGGCGAAGTTCAACAATAGTGTCCCAGGAGTGCTAACGTTCGAATGACCATAAACGCATACTAGTGATTGGTTAACGGCACCTGTCATTATCATTGCCTGAATATCAACGCTATTCACCAACTGAGGAGCAAATTTAACCCAGATCATGTTATTAAGTACTATTTGGACAATGTGTTAATAGCTCGTTATGGTTAGGATTAGGGTCAAGGTAAGTACTGGGGTTAGGGTTAAGATCAAGGTCATAATTAGGATTAGGGTTAGGTTTACGGTTAGGATAAGGTTTGTAATTAGGGTCAGGATTAAGGTTAGGGTTACGATAAGGGATAGATTTAGAACTGATGTCATTTATTTTAATTTGTTTTATTATCCACATTTTCCTGGTAAGTAGTCGTCTATCCTCTTACTGGAAACCGTAGTAATTCAGCCGAGGGCTTTTGGGGAAGACTGCACAACAGGATAAGAGAGAAAAACGATTCACAAAAACAGCTCATCTTCAGTCACCTTGGTGAATACATGCACAGAAATTAGTCTAACTTGGCAACTGATACTCCTCATTATAACTGGGACGTATTTTTAAGTCATATCAAAGAAAGATATCCTGTTTAATGTTTTTTCATGCACTTTCTTGTAAATGTACGTCATTTTTTGTGCAAAAATTCCTCATTTTTATGATTGGTCGCCTCGAGGTCACTCGTGCATGGGACGCTATTGCTGAACTTTGCCGCCCTATTATCACTTTGACGCTTCCTTGCTATTATCATAATAATCTTTGTGAAGGTGACATTGTTGATACAGTCTAACAAAATCATAATACTGTGAGTGTAGAAGTTATAGTTTCTGCATGAATTTGTTTAAATCTAGCAGGATAATTCTAATAAAAATCTGACCATGCTTTCAGTCTTGCACTTCTGCGAAAGAGTACAACCACAAGAGGCATGTTCAATGGAAAAACAAACAAACAAAAGAACCTGAACTAATGTAGGTGTAGAACTTGGACACTATGGTAGAATGTGTGCTTCCATATTAGATAAGTTTATTTTCAATATCACACACACGCACACAGTGATGATGATGATGAAGCATTAACAACTGAATGACAGAAAGACAAGCTGTCCAGTATAAATTATTGCCACTCTCATAATCACATCAATCAATTGTAGTCGCACACGGTTTCACCATGTCTTATGCGTATATTGTCTCCCTCTATTCTGTCTCTGTTAAGAACTTCTCCGCGTGTTGTTTGTTGCCAGTTTCCATATCTCCGGTATAGGCGGCGGTGTTGCGTCGCATCATTCCGATTGTTGCAGGTGTTCGGTGTTGAATCGATAAACAAAGCTTCAGTGATTAACCTCTCTCTCTCCCTCCCTTCACCTAACTAACTATATCACGTTTTAATACTCTCATCTTGTCCCACCCACCCTATAGGGTGTGTGATTACATGCAAGTGGATGCTGTGGAGTGGCTGGGCTCTGTTTTTTATCTAGGATATTCAGCTTACTTAGTAGGGTAAATCAGACTAGGTCTAGCTAAATTTTCATGTTCCAATAATCTAGTTGACCCCTCCCTATCTACTAGTTTGACCGTTTTGCGTAATTGACCTCACTCACAGTCAGCCAGCATTACATGGTATTCGGTAAATTGTATTATACATTTTCTTAATTGGATTTGTTCGGTGCTTAAGCCGACATACAAAGTTTATCTGTGAGTGACTTGGTTGGTTGGTTGGTTTAAATGCTGCCTCTAATAATTCCAGCCTAATTGAGAATCCCACGTAAGGCCTCTGACGTTCCCTCTTTATACGGCAGTACTACAGACTTTAAATTCTATATTATTTTCGTCATTTTCATTGCTAATCTTAGTTTTTCCATGGTTCTTCATATATTTTCGAGTGGCAACAAACAACAAAAGGAAGTTGGAAAGACGGAAAGAGAGAAAATATGTATAAGACAAAATGCAAAAAACGTGACTAAATTGATATGATGATTATGAGTGGCAATAATTTATGCTCGAAACCTTGTCATCCAGTTGTTAATACTAAATCATCATCATCATCACTGTGTGTGATATTGAAAATAAACTTATCTAATATGGAATCTGAACTAAGCTGATTTGATTTATAGGAAAGAGGCTGATTTCACAGAGGTTTCTGAGCACATAGAAAACAATCATAATAAGTGTATAGGTCAGATTTTTAATTAACTACTTCTCATTAACTGTTTTTAAATAAACTCTGTAATAAATTGTCACGACCTAATCTGACTCAGTGTAGTCTGAACGCAGGAAACAAATCTCTGCAGACTACTGTATAGCTGTAAGAAACTTCCTTTAGACACATGCAGTCACAAAACACTACAAAGACAGTAAAAATATGATTATTCGTCGACAAATCTCTGTGGTCCTATTGAACAATATTAACATTAGAAACTGAAAAAATAACCTTAACAGTGCCGTTAGGCAACTATACAGACAAGGTTACTTTCGAAGTACAAAACGAGTACTTAGAATCACATAGAATATTCCCATCTAGGTGGAATGGGAAACCCTGTCTGTAAGAAACACACATCAACTCTTCCCTGTGACAATCCAGTATCAGAATCACCTTCTTCATTCAGTCAAACAAAATCACAGTCGTGAAACAACACAATATCAATATCGTTATCACATAACTACAAAGAGAAGCACTGAAATTTGAGATTACACAAGAACAAAGACAAATAGTAAGAATTAAGTCAAGGCCTAATCCAAGTTTCTTCCAACTTCACTTATCACACTCAGTCCACCGCTGATTCTAAGTTCTGGTTTGACCATCCCTCTAATTATTTTCCAACCTGATCGATCTTCTATCAGCGAACATCAGCTGCTGAGGAAGGTGGTGGTTAGACATCATTGCTTAACACATATCCCAGCCATCTCAATCGATGTAATCTCAAAACATCATCGACTGACCTTCCCTCCGTACCTAACATTTTACTCCTAACCACAAATTTACTCACCATAGTTGTTGGCGATGATAGCTAAGATGCAGATTTTGGCCTATTTAGCGTTTGAAACAATGGTGAGTGCTCATGAACAAAGCAAGAACAACAGAATAAGAAGAAGGTACTGTCATTAATTTCGTTGGCTTCTCATCGTCTGTGAACAGCCTAAATATGCTTGAAAGTGTTGAACAGTTTCAGTTAGTGACAGGAGACTTCGAAATTAATAACCACTATGCTCAGAAACCTTACCAAGTTCACTAGCTCACTAGATTTCTAGACGGTCCCAAGCCTGGAAAAAGACAAAGTGTTGGGTGTGGGATTAGTGGTGCTATCCCAGAAGACCAATTAGACTGCTACAGAAATTTCAGCTCACAAGAAAAATATTAAAAATGGCACGAAATGGCACAGTCGGCTGGCCGGTGAAAGCCTTCAGAAAGCCAGTTAGCCAGCTAGCCAATATGTCTTCTTTCTATGAAAGCAAGAATAAGAATGGGGATTTGGAATATACGAAGTCGGCTGGGAAGGCTTCCCGGGTAGCCAAAGAAATGCGAAGATATGGTACAGAAGTACTGGGTATCTACGAAAGCAGATGGAATGGATGTGGATTATCCAAATTGTCAACTGCAGAGTCAGTAATCTACTCCGGTCTGGTCACCCAGACGACAGCCACGAGCACACTGAGGCAGTGAGTGGCTGTCATAATTTCATCAACAGCAGACAAAGCTCTTGTGCAGTGAGAACTAATCTCCCCAGCAGTATAATGAGAGCAAGATTCAACTCAAAAGGAATGAAGGAAGGGGGGTTGCAATTATTATCCAATGCTACGCACTGGGTGCAGAATCCGAATGGGAAGCGATGAGTGGGTCGTCGGTGCGAGGTTGACATGGAGGAGACCTTGTGAGATGAAAGATTTTGGGCAATCGCAGGGTGAACCAGCTGAAGAGGACAGCAGAAAATAGAAAGAAGTGGAAATGTGTTGTTGAAGCCTTATGTTCCACTGAGGGCACAAGGGAATAATAATAAAAATAATGGTGCTCAAAAATTACACTTGTATAGTTTTTACCCAGAGAGTTCAAGTCTAAAGAAAAAATAACTGTTTCGATACAATGGGAAAAGAGTTATGTCATAAAGACGAAAAGGTGAATAAGTTGGTGAGTTCAACTAAAATCATAGGAACAAGAGACACACAAAATGAAGGAAAAGAGGTTAAACACAAAGATTACGTCGTCAAATGAAAAGGAGTCAGATAGTAAAGACATCCAAGGAAAGATTAATGATAACTACTTGTTTCTGAATGCATAAATCAGGTTTCAGGCTTTTGATAGCAATCGTCTCCGCAAACTTAAGGAGATTTGTACCATTTTGCCAATTGATAATTTTGAAAGATTTCATGGTATCCACCTCATGACCTGTATCGAAGTGATTTCTGGAAATGACAGTGTTGTAAGCTTTTCGGTACATGCACAGAAGACCTAAGGTGCACCCTTCTTTCTCTTCTCCCAATGTACCTGCTACCACAGATCCATGTAGAATTAAATACAAAGTCAGAGTTAACATGAGAAGGGTATCCGTCAATGACTGGTCAGAGAAGGTCTCAATGGGAAAACTGTCACCACCCACTGAGGGCAGGGGTTCGCAGGTAAATCCAGCTGACAAGAGTCCCCAGTTGGGAAGAAATGTGCACGCCCTTCATCCAACTGCTAGTCATCATCTCCCATCCCCCACTAAAAAAGACAACAAACTACCAGATGAGTATTGATTTATCCAGAATAAAACTTTATATAGGACTATAAAAGACGGGAAAATCAGTACAAATGTAGAGACAGTAAACAAACCAGTTTTGTTGGATAGTTACCATAACAATGGAAACCAGAGTATATGTGCTTCGTTCTATTTGGGACTCGTCACCTTGATGTTCCTATATTCCCCAGTGAATGCAGGGAAATGAGTGATGATGTTCCCACTGGAACTGAGACCCGGCACCGATCGTTTCAAACGCCAAGGCCTTATCCACTAAAAACCACTTGCGCCGTGATAGCCGAACATTTAGGTTCAATCAATCGAAAGGCGAAAATCAAACACTTTGGAGTTTGGAAAGATTGACACTGGGTTGGAGCCTCACTTGGGAACACCATCACCTATTCACTCACTTACTAACTGGGGAATGCAGGTACACCGTACTATGACGAGTCTCAAAAAGGCCGAAGTGCACATCTTGGATTCCACTTCTAGTCACCGTCTACTAAAATTACTTCAAGTTAATCCTCAGACATTATCGAAGCGTCTGTCCAGGAGGTAGCCAGCCCGCCAGCAGAGACGGAACATTTGAGTCAGTGATGATGGGTGGTCAGCGAAGCATGTGATTTCTTTTTAAAACCATAGTATCATTATTTGTCTTGCAATTTTTTTCAAACTCTTTACCAGTCTTCGTTGGACAGTATACACATTGGAAACTGATTTTAAAATGGACTTTAGAGACAATTTGGAATTTTCAAGAGTTGACTTGTAAGGATTTGATTTGTTCTTCGAGTTTGACCATGGATTGATATGACAGTTAGAGAACCACTGAAAACCAGTAGAGAGTACTGCTAGACAGCTGTTTTGTCGGCCTAGTTTGGGACTCATCTGCAGTATGCACCCACCGCATTGGGTTTCGAATCCAGGACCTTTCGGTCACAAAACAAGCTTGTAGACTATTTAGGCGCTGGGACCCAATTCAGTGGCCAGTGATTTGTAGTGCAACCACCAACCAATACCGTCGGTGGAACCCCATCCTCACTCCTGACTGGATGGACTTCACTGGTCACGACTTTTCCCTAGAACTCCAGAAAACTGCCGATGAGTAACAAACTGGCAGTACTCCCTGCTGGTCTTCAATGGTTCTCTAACTGTGGTCAAACTCGGTAAACAGATGGGAATGTCTAATTCCTGTGTCATATTATCTATAATCAACTATTTTGTTTATAGAGAACACTCTTCGAATAAGCATTAGGGAAACATGTGCTGCAGTACACAGGGTTTTTCTGGTAGTATAGATGAAATGTAATTCCACTCACCACCCCCCTCACCCGAAAACACACACACGTACATACACAAAAGCGCGCGTAAAACATTTGTTTTACTGCGTTAATTATCTACATAAGAGAGTTTATGTTATAATAATAATAATAATAACAATAATGTATTGCATTCATTTTTGAGAGATTTAATTTAACAATGTCTTTTAGTTATTATAATTATCTCGCATAACCATCTGGTAGGACACGCACGCACACACAAACACACACACACACACCCAGCCTACTGATTACCATACGACAAACGTAATCCCTGACAGGTGTCCTTAACGGGCATTCATTTAACAGGTAAACGGTAGTTAATCAATTTACCCAGCAGGAAAATGGATTCTCCTTTATTTTTTTTCAAATAAGATGTAAACTCTGAAATCAAATCATCATGATAATCATCAGTCGTCATTTATGCAGATCCTCCACTCCCCCCTGTGTGTGTGTGGGCGTGTGTACGAAATACATTTGTATAAATAAACCAATTCCTTTATTGTCCTCATAAATATGAATACTCGCCTTTTCTACGGATAATTGGGATTATACTTAATGCTAATACATTAGTCCTCATTTGACTAAATCAGGAATTTTGTGTGTGTGTGTGTGTGAGTGTGAGTGTATGTTTATTTCCTGTGAATTATCTCTTTGTGTTTCCCCTACTGTCCTCCCACTTTCTTTCTGTCATACACACACGCAAGCACTACAGGAGTTTTTTTCACGAGACATTGTAATGTTGTTTCTTTTAAAGAATTTTACAATTAGGTCATTGGGATTTTAAAAATATTTCTACCACTGTTTTTTTTTCGCCCACTATTGTTGTAGTTTTTTTTGTTTTTTTATGCTCCCTTCGGTGTCTTTAGCTGTTTACGGTTGAATAGTTGACTAATTCACTTGTTATGCGCATAAATAAATGATCGTAAGATTCACTGACTATAGATAATATGAACAAAGTGTAAATAATTTCATTTGAAGTGTGAACGAGATCTGACAGAAGAGAATTGCAAAATAATTGAGCGCTGAGTGAGAAATAGACATTCTATTTGTGAAATCTCAGGGGAATTTAAATTAATTAATAATTCCAGCGTTCCCTGCTTTCGACAAACTGGACCGAACTTCTTCGGGGAAACTGATCGAAATTAGCATAACAGAGGTTTATGTATACAAAAAGGACATCTCTGGCTTTTTAGGGACTTTCTTCAATCATATGAGTCATGAAACAGGCATCAAAACGCATGCTGATGAAAAGTCTCAAACTGGGACGAAACAGCTGTCTGGCAGTACTCCCAGCTGGTTTTCCAATGGCTCTCTAACTGAAGTCAGCTCATGATGAAATCCTCCAACCAATCAAAATTGTACGAGCTATGATCAAAATTTGTCCTCAGACTTCTTACAAATATCAGTCTACTTTTGTTAAACACTTTAAACAGAGTGTACTTTTCATCAGAATTTTAGTGAATACGTTCGGCTAAAAGTTTATGGTCGTAGATAACTGAATATGAAATTATATGTGTATATGCGGTATACAATGGTGTGTGTGTATGTGTGTATGCGGTAACAATTGTAAGTTACTTGTTAGCCTCTCCAAGGTCTTTGGAACCACCTTTAGCCATCGTTTATGCTCCTTCACTGTTATATTTATTTGCCTGTCTAGCAGTTTCTCCTATATATACTGACTCACAATCCCCACAATCATCTGGTACACACAATTCTGTTGGTTGTCTTCTCCTATTTTATCTTTAACCTTCACCAGTGATGAGCGTAAGGTGTTAGTTGCACGAAAATCCACTCTTATGTCATAATTGTTAAGGATTCGCTTTATCTCATCCGATGTTTCTTTGCGGTAAGGAATCACCAGTACAGCACTAACCCACTTCTTAGCATCAGGTTTCGATCCATCCTCATCTTCACGTTTTAAATATCTTTTTATAAAGGCTTTTCGGATAATTATTTGATTCAAGAGTGGACTGAACCAATTTTAGTTCCCTGATGATCTCTCCCTCCTTAGTAATTAGACGTTTGGCTCTGTTAATCAGATTTTTGGCCACAGTTACTTTGGTGGTAAAGGGGTGTGTTGAATAGTAGTCTAGGTATCTGTCCGAATTCGTCGGTTTTCTGAAAATGTTTATTTTAAGTTTACCACCTGGTTTTCTCTTTACTAAACAGTCCAGGAACGCCAAATCATTCTCGTCGGATTCAACCTCTTTGGAAAACTTGATGTTTCAATGAGAAAGTTCATTCAACAAGCTGGGTCTGGTTATGACGAAGGTATCATCCACGTGTCTTAACCACATTTTCGGAAGACTAGAGCATCTCATAATTGCATTTGTTTCTAATGTGTGCATAAACAGATTGGCTACAAGCGGAGACACTGGTTATCCTATAACAATATCTTCTGTTTGAAGGTAAAGAACCCCTCCAAATGTAAATAACGTGGAACGTAGACACAGTTCCAATGCTTTCATAATTTCGTCTCGATTTAAAGGACAACGAGCACTGAGTTCGTCGTCAGAACAAAGTAAATTATAAATAAGACTTAAAGAATCATTAACGGGAACATTCATGAATAATGAATAAACAACGAAACTTGCCATTACTTCATCTTCTTCAATATGAATCACGTTAACTTTTCGCTTAAATTCATACGAATTCTTCACTCCATGTTCCACTTTCATTTCAAATGGGCTTAGTATTCTACAAATGTATTTAGAGAGTTTGTAGGCTGGGGAGTTAGTAAAATCTACAACTGGATGTAATGGAATTTCTGGTTTGTGTATTTTTGGTAATCCATAAAATTTGCAAGGGATGCAACTTTTTGGAGCTAGAATAAACCAAAGTGATACACCGAGTTTCTCTTTTATTGACTGTAACATTTTGCTTGTTTCAGCCTTCAGTTTATTCACTGTCGCCCTCGACTTTGTCATGTTGAATTTTCCATAAGGTCCGACATTACGATGATCAATAGCCTTCTTTTCACAATCTGTAGAGATCATGACAACCGTGGTATTGCCTTTATCTGCTGTTGTAATGACAATGGATCTATCTTTCTGTAGTCGTAGAGTAAATAAGTCCTTGAAGATGCTCATTTAAATAACTGAGATTAATAGGCAAATGAATATTATCTCTTCAATAACTTTTGTGGATAAAATTTATTTTGATAAAGTCGCACAGTGTTTGTTATACAGCAATATTTACTGATGACGACCACACGCTTCGAGCACAATTTATTGCTGCTCATCGTCATCATATCAAGGCACTAATCAAACAACTTTCCAACTTCGTTTATGTTGTTCGGATTGTCAGAATATAAGAATTTAGCTAGGTGTGGAACCAGGCGAAGATAAGTAATCTAGAAAAAAAGCTCAGCAATTGCACTGCATGCATTAGCACACTACCACACAATAGAATGAGAGGGAGAGAGTTAAAATTCTAAAAAGTAATCTAGGTAGGTGGAGAGAGACGTTGATTACTGAATCCTTGTTCATCGAGTCTACACTCAACACGTGCAATAGGAATGACTCATCATCACTGATACCGGAAATATGGAAAATACTACTACCAATCAAGTGAAGCGATGAAAAATAATGGAATTATATAAACGAAGTTAGAAATTTGTGTGAGTAGTGCCTTGATATGATTATGAGCAATAAATTGTGCTCGAAACGTTGTTGTCAGTAAATATCACTGTATAAAAAACACTGTGAGACTTTATCAAAACAAATTTTTACCCATAATGGAATTATACTCTACCACAGTGCACAAGTTTTATTCTTATATCAATAGATAGTTGATGGGTTTGAATGAAACAGTAAAGTTTGATTCCCCACTTAAATCACTGTTAAAGTAATTGTTGATTTGCAATAGTGGACGGGATTTTTAATTGAAATAAAGAGAGAATGATAGTTTTCAAGAGTCATTTTGTGGGGACTTGATGTGTTTCAATTTTAACCAGGCAATGATATCAGTTAGAGAACTCAATAAGAAGATATAAAGAAGACTTTGTTTACCTGAAAAGTGTAATGTATTTGCGCAACACATTTCGGACATTCTGATCACACAAGTATTTGTCATACACAGTTTTATAGAAGGCAAGAAGGCATGAATAATTACAATACAGGTCAAAAGACTTAAACCTGTCTTATGCGTCCAAAAGTTATTTGTTATTACTTTAAACCTGCCCTGGTAATCCAATTTGGAACCAAGGATCAGTTTACATCACAATATTTCCAATCCCCTCTTTGCTTTCTTTTCTTTCTTATCGACACCTTTGCGTCATCTCCCTACCCATTATTTGTGACCTTGACCTGTACACAATCTGACCTGTGTTGTAATTATTCATGCCTTCTTACCTTCTATAAAACTGTGTATGACAAGTACTTGTGTGATCAGAATGTTCGAAATGTGTTGCGCAAATACATTACACGTTTCAGGTAAACTACGTCTCCTTATTAAGTTAGAGAGCTGCTGAAAACCAGTACGGATTAGTGAACATAGCAGTTTCGTCAGCCTAGTTTGGGACTCTTCGACACTATACCCTCACCACCGTAGTTCGAACCCAGGATATTCCATTTACAAGTGAAGCTCGTAGACCATTCAGTCAATTGGATGAGGCTTAATGGGCACTCTATGAATTCCATGTTTTACCGAAACGTGATTTCGGTGCGACCAACATTTAGTGTTACCGGAAGGTGCTGGATTCGAACCCTGGTGGGTGTGTACTGCCCGGTGAGTGCCAAAGTAGGACGAAATAGCTCTGTTCAGTTCAGTGTTCCTCTACCTGGGAATGAGAGTTATTCAGCGAATGTCTGTACTAATAATTGTGAATGATTAATAACTGTCCACAACTTAAAGTCGGAGTCTGTCGAGATTATGCAACGTACTTAATAGACACATTACAACGACAGAACACAAAAGTATTTGACAACGGAACCATTTATTGAGAAGTCGGTGTAGAGATATGAGGAAAAATAGATTAGAATCCCAGTTTGTACATGCTTCCCCTTATTGTACTCCGTTTTGTCTTCATATCACAGACATCGTCCAGGCATTTCTTCTCTTCATCAATAAATCCATCGATCTCTCCACTATTCGATATTTGTGCAGCTGAAATACATATATAGTTATTTATATCCGAATCTATATACTACTTATAAATCTCATCAGTAACACATGCAACTTGTTATTACTTGTTTCTATCTTGTCCATTTTTCTTTATTTACCTATCTATTGCAGGAAGTGGAATTCAACAGAATATCCCTACACAGAATGTAGAGTCAAACTCTGAACCATGGAGTCAGAATACACTATTAAACAGTTTAACATTATGGAGTATGTTTATGAAAGGTATTCATCAATTGAATAATAACAATAATTCTAATCAAAACTGTGATGCCTACAATAAATTAACGTCTAGCGAAGAAGAAATGACAACATTCAATTCTTCAATGAAACCGATAGACTTGTCAGTTTTGTCAACAGATACTAATCCAATAATGAATATATCCCATTGTGAAGAAACTATCAATAAACTGTCTACAAATCAACCCTATGTAGACAATTCTTACTTAAACTATCATTACTGTCAGTCGAAAGATTTCACATCAGTGTTGAACGCGTTAAACAGCCTACTCAGTATGACTAATCCTTATATGAAATCAGTGAATCAACCGTCGACAGCAACACTCCCTCCACCTGCAACAACAACACCAACAACAAGAACAAGTGACTTCAACTCTGAGCAATGTCAATTTCCCGCAAATCCTTCCACTATATGGAATCCTAATACTACTACCACTGTCAATAATTCATCAGTGAATATTTCAAAAACTGAGAAATTGAACACATCACCAACATCTTCATCATCATCACCCTCGTCATCTTCATCATCATCATCGTGGAGTAAACAGTCGAAGTTTTCAATTTTAGAACTTATCAATACCTCAAAAGACACAGAGAAGAAGTGTTTATTATCGGATCAAAGTACACCGATAAAAAGTATGAGTCATGCAAGAAATAAGCGTTTCCGATGTCCACTGTGCAGTCATACATTTTCTACACAAAACAGCCTAACAAAACACACAACTTCTATCCATGTGATGCCTCAGTGTTTGAATCAGATCAGTTCACAGAAACATCCCCAGTCAATGAAATCATCACCACTGATGACAACAAGAGTGGATGATAAATGCTCGCCAAGTCTTGTTAGTGAGAAGATCAAATGTCATGAGAATAGATTTGAAAGTATGAGTAGACCACAGTCTATCTTGTTGAATAATAAAGATAATGATGCATCGATAGGATTCAATGGGAATTCGACATTTCCTTACAGTCATAACACAAGCGGTAGCACTGATGATAATAATAATGACGAACATTCAAGTCAGATGAATTCCCCGCTGACTGGAACAATGCCATGCACACCGCAAACACAAAATCCTCACAATCCTCACCATCATCATAATTATGGCCATCCGTATTTCTGTCATTTATGCAATAAAGTTTACTATTCAATGTCTGCATTGAAAATGCATGTACGCACGCATACCTTACCGTGCAAGTGTAATCTGTGCGGTAAGGCATTTTCACGTATGTGGTTATTGAATGGACATTTGAGAACGCATACAGGCGAGAAACCCTTTGCTTGTATAATCTGTACACGAGCATTTGCTGACAGATCGAATTTAAGAGCACATATGCAAACACACTCGGAAGTGAAACGATATCAGTGTAGTCATTGTGATAGAACATTTTCACGTATGGGATTATTGACAAAGCATCAGACAACATCATGTTTACAGCAACAACACAACAACAGCAAGTTAAAAAGTCGTCGACAAAATCACGTAACACTACTATTACTACTAATAATAGTAGTAATAAAGTAAATGGATATATATTTGACAATAAAATCATACCTGAATCTAAAAAACTGAGAAATATTCATTAAAGCCTATGAGTTGTGAAAGACAAAAAAATATCATGAATAAACTGATTCTTATCCCTCATATCCCAGTCTTATTTCTTCTAAAAAAAATTGAATACTATTCCGTAATCGTTGTAGTATTAGTAGTGGTGTGGCGTTTCCTACTGATAAAAGCAAGAGGATTGAGTGAACGAAGAAATATGGACTTTTCAATTAAATTCTCGTCTCACTCTGGCTCTACTCTACTATACACACACGTAGAGCATTCTTCTGTGATAAATTGCACAAAATTTTAACAATCAAGTGGCACTGGTATGTTTTAGAACTCATAATAATAAGTCAGTATCAGCATTTCACCGACGAGGGAGGTGATAATTAACAAAGAAAAGTGAAGTATAGAAATTGTTACAGCAAATGGCCTGTATTATGCACGTAATCTTGGAGAAATGAAGAGTAATTAAGGAATAAGCCAGTGTTCAAGTTGATTACGTAACGTAAAATTCAAGAAAAAATAGAACAATTTGGACAATTATAATTTCAGGAGTAGGACGAAGTATTCCTGTTTATACATTCTTGTAACGATAGCCATAGTAAGTACAGTGATTGTATAAATTTCTTCTGAACACACACAGGTTTGGCTTCTTCAGGTGGATTCCTATGGTTTCAGCTGTGTGTAGGAGACGAACTCGTAAAGCAGCGTGATGTTTGGAAATATAGTGATGAAGCTGCCTAAGTGTACGCCCGAATGTAGCTAGTTGGCTCTGCAGCTGCAGTCAAGTCGGTAGATACATGCAGAGGAGGCGATATCAGGAAGTTTGTACTTATTTCTCAAATGTGATATAGGGGTGGTAGTGAAGTGACAAGGTACCATCTCTGCTGCATTGAATACTCGTTTTACTGCATTCTTCAGGCACTCGTTGTGCTGCTATTTCTCTGATGTTATCAGTGGGGAAGTGACGTTTTATGTATAGTGGGTGTTCTGGAACTGTTGCTATACTCACTCTCCTTGGTGCTAAATTCATATTTTTCTGGATAACCATAATCTTAAGCTCCTCATGGAGGCAGTCGTCTATGAACCAGACACTTTATCAAGTTATCTTTATATTTCAAAGGTACAAAACTCCAAAAATGAGTGTACTGATCTGTTGTTGTGGGTTTCCCATACAAAATCCTTCCTTTCTTAGTGTACCGTCTTCTTTCATAGCCAGGAGACATCTGGAAACTAGTTAGTTTCATTACTTCCCTTCTCTATGGCTAAGTTTGCTTGCGGAATGCGCATCATTGAACTTGTCGAGGGTGTTCATTGCTTCATTCTCGTTAGTTGATTGGTAAAATGTTGTGTAATGCATTAAAGAAAAATGATACGCATAATATATATACATATACATAATATTAGAATAGAGCCAGAGTGAGATGAGGATATAAATGTCTAAATGAGGACTTTTGTTCATACTACTGATAAGGTTTAATAAGTAAAATATAGATACAGATAGAAATATGCATAAATCATCTACAAGAATATCTAGATAGACAGATACACGGATGGATTTAATGAAGGAGAGAAGAACTGCTTGGACGATGCTTGTGAAACAACAACGTGGTAAACACGAAAAAAAGATTTCATTCTCAAAAGCAGCTGTAAAATCGCATTAATGTATGCGTACATAAGTTTACATAGATACAACTACAATCTTTTTTTTTCCTTCACGATCCCCAGTGGAACATAGGGCTTCAAGCTAGTGGCTTGAAGTTTCTGTAGCAGTTCTTATTTTACAGGATGGGATTGGTAGCCTCATGCCCAACCCTTCCTCTTCACCAGCATTATTTCTGGCTTAGCGAGGTAAAGGAGTGCGTCGGCCGGGAATCGAACCCCGGACGATGTGCATGGTCGGCGAGCGTCCTAACCGCTATACCACCGACGCACTACATTCATTTGATTCTACACAAATAGCGAAGGGGGGAGATTAAAGGTGATAGTCACTTTCAACTTGATATAGAAGTTTGGCAGGTGTCAATACAGACTACAAGGGGCTTAGAAACAAAATAACGCAGCACTAGAAAGTAGTTCCGTAATATGTGAAATATTTGTTTGTTTTTTTCTAACGAAGACAGATATGAACGGGACGAGCACGGAAACAAACTGAAATCTCAATTTTTGTAAATTTTGAAAAGCCAAAAGGCGAAAAGTAAGGACTCGAACTAAACTAGATCCATGATAGTAAATGCATAGATTGGAATAGTTTCTTTTGAAAACACATCTCCGGCTTTTCGTTGCAAGTGGCGACGGGTTCTGTAGTAAAAAGAGGTCGGAAACACACTGCCTTTGGGGGATATTTATTCACTTTGAAAATGACTCTTCTGAGTGGTGGGTCACTCTAGATGTTGTGAAAGGTGTTCACTTATGGCGCTTATTATTGAACCAGTGCCTCCTCTTTGTAGCATTGCTGGGTAATGTTCCCTGACACGTTTTGATAGAACCCGCGTAGAACGACCTATGTACCCCGCTCCACACGAGCAGGTGAACTGATATATGCATATTGAAGTGGTCATGTACGGAATTCTGTCCTTCACATTGCCCCGATGCAGTGGGCGGCTGGAAAATATCACTCTTAAATTCGCTGCTGGAAGGGTCTTCCTTAGGGAACTAGAGACTCTGCACTTAAGGATATGTGCAGCTACGTCACTGCTGCAAATTCTTCTGGTACGGTGTCCCAGGAAGATGATGAGAGCTGTTTTCTGACTGATAGGTATCCAACTGTAGAAGTTTATCAGTTGGTCATTCCATGATGGCTTTCTGTGGATAGATCTTTTCAGAATTCCATCATCGCTTCTTGTCAATTTGACGTCCAGAAACGGAATCTTTGATTCATTTCCAACTTCCACTCTGAACTTGATTGAAGGATGGCAGATGTATTCCTGGAACTGCTGGTGTTCATCAGTTGAAAGTTGAAACACAATATGACTTCTCCAAGATCTGTTCCTGTTTAGCTCCACAATATGGGAACTGATTGCATCAACAGGATTAAATTTTATGGCGCTTTAAGGTAACCAATCAAATCGAATTCCTGCAAACCAACACTTGAATATCACTGTTATGACAACCAGCGACTTGCCCTATTCAGGTAGGTAGTTACCTGGGTTCTAGTGGGAAGTCGTCACCAGTCAGGTAGAGCAGGTCTGGTGTGGGGACAAGTACTCGCCACCGACGACACCGCCTAGTGCCAGTTGCGCTTATATCGTGCGTAAACTGACAGGAGTTGGAATTCATGGACAGGCTGGCCACTAGATTGGTGGGTCTCAATGGCTTAATGACCTATGAGCTCACTCGCCTTGTAGCTGAAGGGTGATGGGTTCAAACCTCAGTGGGGTGGGTGCGTAGTGTTGAAGAGTCCCAAAGTGAGGCGAAGCGGCCATCCAATACTCCCTACCTGTTTATCAATGGTTATCTAACCAATGTCACCACATGATGAAATTCTGTAAAGCATATATAGAACAATTCAAAAGATGTATAGATGTTGTTGGAAAGGGGTGTTTAATTATAGGGTTAGTAGGCTAATATAAAATGTTATATAAAATAGTGTGAAATTTGATAAGATAGAAACCAACATTGTAAGAAGAAAATTTTCGATTTAGAATGACGAGTGGGACAAGTGGAAACAATTCAAAGTGAGAACAGTAATGGTAATAGCGATAATAATAATAATAATCGTAGTAATGAGAGAAAGGTACATAGAATAACTAAATAAGCAAAATAAATACATAAATGCTTATCCCTCTACGGCCAAGGTAGAAGTAGGGATTGTACATACTTCTTTTGTACACAAAGATAGGTTTGGCTTGAAGTCATGATTTGCCAAGGCCTCCACTGTCTTTAGAAGTTTATAATGAAGAAAACGCGGCCAGCAATTTAGCATGGATTCGGTAGATGATCATAACATCATGGTCAGGGTTAGTAGAGTGACAAGAGTTGATCAGGTATTCCAGAATACAGCTTCACACACCCTTCCTTTCTCCGTTGTAAAACCATGCTGCTGGAATGCGTTCTCGTATCCGTGTGAAAAGTGGCGTTTTCTGGCTACGGCCGATTTACCTAGCCCTACAAGAGCAGGTGAAGTAATAAATCTAATATCGTATTACATATTGAAAATTCCATATTTGTTACAGAATTACTGTTTGGGATAAACCTGTTCTTATTATTGTTTCATTCGACCATTGTTTCAATACTATCTAATTTTCCATTTATACTATCCGGACCTATTATTAATGATATTATCTCTTTTCTCAATATATGCCTCCACCTAATTCATTTCACATATTGGTTATTTCATGACGAATGAACTTCCCATTGCAGTCTTACTATCTCCTCTTTGATACATACTATTTTGTACTAACCACTCCGCACCCCTGACACCTTTGATAACCTTGAACTGACTTACTTGTCAATTTTTTTCCTATCCCATATTCTACGAATCTGTTATGACTAATCACCACCATTGTCTCCCATTTCACCGAAATATTTTGTAATTGAATTTAGCCGAGAGCATGTTTGTCACACAAATACTACTATTTATTTTGACACCCCATAACTAATCTGTAATTAAGAACACAATATTCAGCGAAGAGACTCTTTTCAACAACGAATTTATTATCGAGCTGTACAATCGTATATACCCATGTGGTTTTTAAGAAATTATATCCGGTGAGGGAATTGAATCAAAGGTGGGCGTGAATACATGATATAATAATAACAGTATGAAATGCAATTAAAATATTTGTGATTATAATCATAGTTAAATGTCAAGTAGCAAAACAATTAATGCCATATACAGAATAATACACAAGGTGTATAGATGTTGGAAAGGGGTGCATAATTATAAGATTAGTAGACGAAAATAAAATGTTACATAACATGGTGTGAAATTCAACACTGTAAAAAAATAATTGTTTTGGATTTCGAATGACAAGTATGACAAGTGGAAACAATTCAAAGTGAGAATAGTAATAATAATAATATTGAAGGTAATCGTAGTAATGAGGGAAAGGTACATAGATTGACCAAAAAAAACAAAATAAATAAATAAACAAATGTCTGTCCCTCTATGATGAAGGCAGAAGTAGGGATTTTACATACTTCTTTTGTAGACAAAGGTCTGGCTGCCTTGAATTCTTGGATGAATAACCAACGCCTCCACTGTATTTAGAAGTCTGTAACGAAGAAAACGCG